AAATTTTTAGTTCAAGTTCCAGGACTTTTCTGGACTTCTTTGCAAACAAATTAAACTTTATTAGTTGCTTTGAGGCAGTATTTATTATAAAAAATATTTAATTAAGGTAAGATATTCCTTTAATTTCCTGATTTTTTCAGTTTTTCAAAGGAAAACCTATTGGATTGTTTTGATTAATAAGGTTGTCATAGTCTTCACCCAAAAGTAAAAACATGCTGAACCAAGCAAAGACACACTAGCTCAAAACCACACAGCACCCTTTCCTCAACAGTCTGTGCAAAGCAAAAAAAAAAATTAAACTACTGAGGATAGATTAAACAATATAAACACAAATAAAGAAAAATAAATTCAACAGAGAAACAAAAAGCATCAGAGGCTTGTGAAAAGATACAGAGTATACTAGCTACCTCTTTAAACATGTACAAAAGCATACTTGTATACATCTATCTCATTTCATAGACAAAAAACAGTCTATCAGTCAAGAGATATTTTATAAGTTTTTCAGTCAATTTACTAATTATTCCTCTTTCTCAGATCATCTCACAGATTCTTCCAGACAGAAATCAATGCATATTTATGGAATATTTTCTGTCTTATTCTACTAATTGTTTACTGGTTTTAGACGTTAGAATAATTAACAAACATAATTAAAAAAAATTAGTCATCTGGCTCTAGTTTATACTGACACCAATGTTTAAAATTTGGGCATCAGATTAATAACAGGAGTACTTATCCAAATAAATAGGTGAAGTAATACCTATGATAAGATATAAAATACTAAAGGTGTTAAATACTGCCAGAAGAAATCTCAGTCACTGTTGTCAGAAGTTCATTAGAAAGGCTACAATGCCTCTACATAATGTTTTAAATACCATCTTCACATACACTTTAAGAAAGAGCTCTGATTTTTTTCTACATTAAAGCTTACCTCTTTGTGCAGTACAACACATCCAACATAAGAGCAGAGCTGCGTAGCCCAGGAACAACATTCTAGAGATTCAGAAACTCATCCAAACACATTCAGTATTGGACCCTACTTTTTTTGAGTACTTTGTGTTATTTCAGCTCCTCTCTTACTCAGTAACTGCTCCAGAGACTGATCTTGCAAACCATTTATACTCTGATTTCAGCAGTCATTTCCACGAAACCTCTTGCAACACACAAGTATTTCTTTTTTTTCCTCCCCTCTCTAAAACTTGCTAAAGGGATAAATAAATAAACGCCTGGCAATTTAGGCTGACACATTCCTTTCTTGTGATCTGCTTGTTTTTTCATCATACTTTTTTCTTTTTCTCATATAAGGTTATTTTTTTAGTATCTAAAAGCAGTTGTACAAATAAATTATTTTGTGATTCTTTGTGTGTTGTTTGCTTAGTCAGAAAACAAAGTCATGTTAACTGTGCGTAAAAATGAGTTTCTCTACACATATAATTCAAGATGCATGCTAAAACCAATCAAAATAAAAGGCAGACAAAAATATAAAGTGACTAACTGGTCACTCACTCTTTCTTATATAAAATAACCAACTGCCCAGAGCAAAGGAAATATACTTGATCAAATTCTTGATTAAATAAACTTAGGTGAAGCTGAAGCGCTTGTTTCAGTTTCACATGAGAAATAAGATGGAGAAGGTGTGAATGAATTGTAAGATAGAGAATGAACTTTCCAAAGAGAAATATAAAGATTATGCAAAAAGAAGTATATGGCAAACTGGGCTAACAGAGGAACTTGTCACAGGTTCATGTAAGCAACAGTCTTATTAATAGTTTCATGATATGTCTTGGCTTTATAAGTGCCACTCCATTGGAAATGTAGATCATATGAAGAGAATTATTTGAGACTGAGAATTCAGGGAAAAATATGTAACAGTACAAAAGTGCTCATATGAGATGGACATAAAACAGCTGCAGACCAGGTACCCCACAGTGGTGATGTCTGACTGGCATGGAGTATACATAGATCTGTCTTGTATATGCTCCCAAAAAAACACACAACATATCCTTAAAATTACTGGCTTAGTTAGTGTACTGTTCTAGGATAAAAGTAGTGTGTCTACAGAGCAGATCTCAAATCAAACCTGAATTGCAAAGCATTTAAAGCAGTTAAAACTTCTTGTCTTCTTAAAATGCAGCTGGAATTATTATTTTTTTTTTAACTTGAGCTGTGTTTTCAGTCCCCAGTTCTAAGAATTTGGTCTTGCTGAAAACTGGCATTCAGCTGTTTCACCCACAAGAACTCTTCAGTGAGCATAATATCTCTTCCTTCCCCTTTCCTAGACAAATGACTCATACGTGGAAAATGAACTCTCACCCTGCTCCATGACCCTGTGATGATCGATCTGCCTCCATTTTGCAGTTACTGGTGAATACCTGACCACTGAAAAGATATTTTTTACCCCTGTCAAAGTCGAGTTCCAAGAAAACAGTTCCTCACAGAATTTCACTGCCCAAATCTATAGTTCCTTTTGTTCTGTGGTACTGAAGCCTGTGCTGCTGCTGCAGACAGACGTGCTCTGACAGCACCAGGACAGTCCCACTTGTCTCTCTGCAGCAATCTTACCACATTACCATGGGTATTCATATGCTTCTGTACCTGTGCAAAATCTTGCAGCAGCCTGCACTGGTGAGGAACTTAGGATGGTTTAACCTTCCCTGTCACAGCAGTACAGTGACACTGCTGCTTTCCAATTCCTTAACTCATATGGGAAGCTCAGAGACCTGGAAAAACATTGAAACAGAGTGTAAAAAGGCTTCGATTTCAACCCAGACACAGTGGTTCAAACCAATTAGCTGTAAAAATACATGCTGCAGGCATAGGTTCTAAAATTTCTGCAATTTTAAATGTTGTATCCTCTGATGTCCTGAAGGTCTAACTGCTTCGGGTCTTGTCAAACTGCTTTTGGGTCATTAAACCACTTGCGAAATAATTATGGACTTGAAACACAGTCAAAGATAACTTCAGCTGCAGCTGAACCAAAACTGGAATTGAAATGGTACTTTAACTTTCCTGTCTGCTGTCTACAAATACAGGCAATGCTAAAACTCTTTGAGCATCAGCACGCAAAACCAGAACTCCTATGAATAAATTTAAGCTAAAAATTAGAAGACTCCCCTAACCTAGTGAAGCAGTGTTTGTATGGATGTAATGTAGGCCTATACAAAGAAATCATCTTCAATCACAAATCAAGGGACCAGACTCAGTCCCTTCTGGTCTTGTGTTTGTGATCTTCTTAAACCATTGATTAAACTTACCCTAACTAAATGGAAATAAAAGCAGGAACTTAAACTTGCTTTCCTTCCTTACCTCTTCCATGGGCTATCAATTTAAAACTAATGTCTTTAATCGTGTCTGACTTTGTTTAGTCATCTCCAGCCTCTAACAAAACAGAGTGCATAGGTAAACCGTGCTTCAGGACCTCTAAGGCAGGCAGAAAAAAGCCATCTCTAGAGTACCCTTACTTCCCTCTCATAAAAAAAAGGCAGAAAAGGAGTTATGCAGCCAAAGACAGCTGGATTTTATCTAAGGAAGCAGAGCTATTGCTTTGAGAACTGGTGTGACCACACTCACATATTGCTGTGGATGCAGCCAGACAGCCAAAATATCACCCCCAGAGAAAATATCACCACAAGAAAAAGTGCATGTCAAGATACAAGAGCATAGGAAAGTACAGGTGGGAAGGGACCTCAGGAAGTTATCTTGTCCAATACTCCTGCACAAAGTAGAATCAGTATAAGGTCAGAATAAGTTATTCAAGTTTTTGTTCATTCCTTGCTCAATGTGGAGGCTTAACATCAACATTCAGAGTGTTTGTTCAAACCTGAATAACTTGGAAATCAGTGTTTGGAAGCCATGTTGTGTTAGGAAGACAGATCTGAGGAAGTCAGAGTATTCCATAGGGAACTAATGATGACTAGTAACAGATGCTTAATTAGCCACTGCTGAAATGGCATCTCTGACCAGGATAATTTCAGCATGTCCTAGCAGCATTCTTCCTGATACACTTGAGTTTAATGATATCATTAGACCCTGTAGAATTCTAGAACCAGTCACCGCCTTGCCCAAAAATCTTCATGAAAATGTGCTGTCCCACTGTATTAATAGTGAGGTTATCTTTTCATCATCAACATTTGCCTTTTCTCCCACTGTCACA